CCAAAGTTTGCACAAAGTACCTATCAGTGGTGGCAGCTCTCTTGAGAAAGAAAGGGATAAGTGTGTATCCACATTTAGACTATTGGTTACTAAGGCACAGTTGCAAGATCTTCTTTGTGAAGCTGTTATCTACACATGTACTCTTTTCAGGAGTTTGGGATTCCTCATAAATCAAAAGTCCCATTTGGAACCCACCAACACCATATTCTTCATAGGAGCTCGATTGGACTCCAGTCTGGGACAAGCTATGCTTCTGTGAGATAGGTTCCTGAATATCAAGAAGACCACAGAGACTAAAAAGTCATCAGTCTCATAAAAAAAATTTATTCTGCCTCAGGTTGATGAGTCTCCTAGTGTCTATGGCCTATGTAACTGTGCACACCTGTCTAAAAATGAGAACCCTCTTCCAGCACTGTTGTCAACAAACTACAAACAGGGAAAACACTCCATGTATCGAAATCTGTGAAGGTTCTGTCAGATTTACTCTTCTGAACTCAGCCACAGAATATTCTGATGAGAGTATCATTCAGATATCCAGTTCCACCAGTGGTGTTCACAACAGATACATGCAATACTGGATAGGGAGCTCTCTGTCTTGCACTCACAGCACAGGGTCTCTGGTCACAGAAAAAGACAAAATTTCATATAAATCTTCTAGAGCTCAGGGCAATTCAATGGGCCTGAGAAGCCGAATGGGCCTGAAAAGCTGAAATAGTATTAGGCAATACCACAGCAGATTATTTTATAAAGAAGCAGGGAGGAGTTCATTCTTACCAGCTGCGCAAGGAAGCGACTATGTTACAGGAATGGTGTATAACACACAACAAAACCCCAATTGCAATTCATTTAGCAGGAAAGGACAAACTCTTAGTGGATCATCTAAGCAGGATTAATATAGACTCACATGAATGGTCCCAAAAATGTCAGTGGCGTGAGATATTTTTCTTCAATGGGGTCACCTGCACGTATATTTATTTGCCACCAGGAAAAACACAAAATGCCAAAGGTAATGGTTAAGAGCAGGAAAGGATTGTTTCTTAATTTCAGATGCATTCTTGATACTGTGGACTCAAGGGCTACTGTAAAAATTTCCTTCTTTTCCACTTGTGTAGAAAATGGTATCCAGATAAAGCAGGAAAAGGCAAGGATTATTCTGCTCACCCTGGCATGGCTCCAGCAACAGTGGTTCCCAATTATGCTCCGCTTCTCAGCAAGAAATTTCAAGACCCTTCCTGTCTCTCTAGATTCATTAACCCAGCAGAATGGCTGGATTTACCACCCAGACCCAAGCTTCCTTCACCTAACAGCATGGACAATAGATTTTTAAAGCGTAGGGGACAATTTCCTGGTGCAAGTGCTAGAGGAGCCAACTAGGGGGAGCGCTTTTCTTGACCTGCTGCTCACAAACCGGGTAGAATTAGTGGGGGAAGCAAAAGTGGATGGGAATCTGGGAGGTAGTGACCATGAGATGGTCGAGTTCAGGATCCTGATGCAGGGAAGAAAGGTAAGCAGCAGGATACGGACCCTGGACTTCAGGAAAGCAGACTTCGACTCCCTCAGGGAACGGATGGCCGGGATCCCCTGGGGGACTAACTTGAAGGGGAAAGGAGTCCAGGAGAGCTGGCTGTATTTCAAGGAATCCCTGTTGAGGTTACAGGGACAAACCATCCCAATGAGTCGAAAGAATAGTAAATATGGCAGGCGACCAGCTTGGCTTAATGGTGAAATCCTAGCGGATCTTAAACATAAAAAAGAAGCTTACAAGAAGTGGAAGGTTGGACATATGACCAGGGAAGAGTATAAAAATATTGCTCGGGCATGTAGGAATCATATCAGGAGGGCCAAATCGCACCTGGAGCTGCAGCTAGCAAGAGATGTCAAGAGTAACAAGAAGGGTTTCTTCAGGTATGTTGGCAACAAGAAGAAAGCCAAGGAAAGTGTGGGCCCCTTACTGAATGAGGGAGGCAACCTAGTGACAGAGGATGTGGAAAAAGCTAATTTACTCAATGCTTTTTTTGCCTCTGTTTTCACTAACAAGGTCAGCTCCCAGACTGCTGCGCTGGGCATCACAAAATGGGGAAGAGATGGCCAGCCCTCTGTGGAGATAGAGGTGGTTAGGGACTATTTAGAAAAGCTGGACGTGCACAAGTCCATGGGGCCGGACGTGTTGCATCCGAGAGTGCTGAAGGAATTGGCGGCTGTGATTGCAGAGCCATTGGCCATTATCTTTGAAAACTCGTGGCGAACCGGGGAAGTCCCGGATGACTGGAAAAAGGCTAATGTAGTGCCAATCTTTAAAAAAGGGAAGAAGGAGGATCCTGGGAACTACAGGCCAGTCAGCCTCACCTCAGTCCCTGGAAAAATCATGGAGCAGGTCCTCAAAGAATCAATCCTGAAGCACTTGCATGAGAGGAAAGTGATCAGGAACAGCCAGCATGGATTCACCAAGGGAAGGTCATGCCTGACTAATCTAATCGCCTTTTATGATGAGATTACTGGTTCTGTGGATGAAGGGAAAGCAGTGGATGTATTGTTTCTTGACTTTAGCAAAGCTTTTGACACGGTCTCCCACAGTATTCTTGTCAGCAAGTTAAGGAAGTATGGGCTGGATGAATGCACTATAAGGTGGGTAGAAAGCTGGCTAGATTGTCGGGCTCAACGGGTAGTGATCAATGGCTCCATATCTAGTTGGCAGCCGGTATCAAGTGGAGTGCCCCAAGGGTAGGTCCTGGGGACGGTTTTGTTCAATATCTTCATAAATGATCTGGAGGATGGTGTGGTTTGCACTCTCAGCAAATTTGCGGATGATACTAAATTGGGAGGAGTGGTAGATACGCTGGAGGGCAGGGATAGGATACAGAGGGACCTAGACAAATTGGAGGATTGGGCCAAAAGAAATCTGATGAGGTTCAATAAGGATAAGTGCAGGGTCCTGCACTTAGGACGGAAGAGAGAGTCCAGCGAAGGGCAACAAAAATGATTCGGGGTCTAGAACACATGAGTTATGAGGAGAGGCTGAGGGAGCTGGGATTGTTTAGCCTGCAGAAGAGAAGAATGAGGGGGGATTTGATAGCTGCTTTCAACTACCTGAAAGGGGGTTCCAAAGAGGATGGCTCTAGACTGTTCTCAATGGTAGCAGATGACAGAACGAGGAGTAATGGTCTCAAGTTGCAGTGGGGGAGGTTTAGATTGGATATTAGGAAAAACTTTTTCACTAAGAGGGTGGTGAAACACTGGAATGCGTTACCTAGGGAGGTGGTAGAATCTCCTTCCTTAGAGGTTTTTAAGGTCAGGCTTGACAAAGCCCTGGCTGGGATGATTTAACTGGGAATTGGTCCTGCTTCGAGCAGGGGGTTGGACTAGATGACCTTCTGGGGTCCCTTCCAACCCTGATAATCTATGATTCTGTGATTTAAGTGACTTGGAATTGTCTCTCTCGACGAATGTGCACCTTGTTTTAATGAACTCTAGAAAAGAAGACAACTAGTAAATGCTGTCCATAGGCTTGCAACCCAACAGGACCCAACTACAGCGGTTGAGTTTAGGTCAGGTCAGAAAACAACCCAGTCCTCTAGGACTCAGGTCAGGTAAGCTCTTATCACCTCCGCCTGCCTGTGATGTCAGCACAGTGGCGGCTGCATGCCCCACTCCTGCCAGCCGCCATCACCCCCCCTGTCTCAGTGTGCAGTGGAGTGAGTATGATGACAAATCGCTGCACACACAGCACAGTGAGGCTGCAGTGACCAGTAGGAGTGAGGCACGCCACCTCTGCTCCCCAACCCCACAAGCAGGAGGAGGCTGGAGATTGATCATGGGCACAGGATGCAGGGAGCACCACGAGACTGAGACCCAAGGATGAGGCAGCGGCGGTGGCATTGACACAGGTTCGGGGGTGAGTGTTGTGTCCAGGTTGGGTCTGAAAACAAGTTGATGCTCTCAGGTTGCATTCAGGTCAGCTGTGACGGGGTCAGGTTCAGGTCTGGGTTTGGCTTTAAAATTAGGCCCAAGCAGACTTCTAATACTATCTGTTAAATTGAAAAAGGTTTTCTTCATAGGTGGCTAAAAAGGGATTTATGAGGGACCATGAGAGCATACAGGGTGTCTCTGCAACCCATTGCTGGACATTGCTAGAGAAAAGCTTTCCAAACTCCTATGCAGAGGGCGCAAGTGCACCATATGTGGGATCCACATGGCCAGGAGCTCAAAGAACTTTTAGATATAATGAACTTCAGAAGGCTTTAGAGCAGAAGTGGGCAAACTACGGTCTGCGGGAGGACCATCCTGCCCAGCCCCTGAGCTCCTAGGCGGAGAAGCTAGTCCCCAGCCCCTCCCCTGCTGTCACCCCTCCCACACAGCTATGCCGCCGTGCAGGCAGTGCTCTGGGCGGCGGGGTTGTGCACTCCTGCAGGGCAGAGCGGCATCGTGTCTAGCTCTGACCGGGCGGCACAGCTGCCAGACATGCTGCTCTGAGCAGCATGGTAAGGGGGCTGGGGCCAGGGGGTTGGATAAGGGGCAGGGGTTTCAGGAGACAGGGAGCAGGGGGCAGTTGGATGGGGCGGAGGTTTGGGGTGGGGCAGTTGGATGGGGTCCCAGAGGGCGGTTAGGGGCGGGGGTCCCGGGAAGAGGCGGTCAGGGGACAAGGGGGGGGGTTGGATGGGTGAGGGGTTCTCAGGGGGGCAGTCAAGGGGCAGGAAGTGGGGGGGGGGGTCGGATAGGGGGCGGGGACTAGGCTGTTTGGGGAAGCACAGCCTTCTTTACCCAGCCCTCCATAGAGTTTCGCACCCCGATGTGGCTCTCGGGCCAAAAAGTTTGCCCACCCCTGCCTTAGAGTTTCTCAAATGCTTGAAATTATACTATTTTCTGTAGTGCATACTTGGAAAGCATTTTGTTTGAGTCTTAATATTTGTAATAAGCTACTTATGTCTAGTATTGTGGTATAGACTTGTGTCTCTGAATTTAAGGTATTTCTAACCCTCTCATTTACAATAAAAGTACTTTACCTGGTATCATATACAAGAGACGTTCAACTACTGAATAGGAGACTCTGCCCTTCTGTATATAGAGATTACAGACAAAGAAGTGGTAGTCTACAGAAGTGGCTCCATGGTAATAAACAATAAGCCCCGGTCCTTCTGGTATTTTTTCTATGCCATGAACTTCATAACCTGTCAAGAATACAAAGTAAAATAGTTTCAATATTAGCTTTTTATAAGTCATGCTGTGATTTAACATAAAGCTACTCACTACAGGAAACTCCTTCCTGTATATGGGGAAGATGTTCTAGGAGTCAATTTTAGGACATCCAATGTTAGTCAAGAAGTGATTAGCATAACAATTAGCTCTTGGCTCTGACAGTCAAACATTTCACTTCACAGTTAAAAATGCAGTGAGAAAATGGCAGCCTTATTTTTGATCTCATGCATCACTGCATCATACGTCAGCTCACAGAGGCCTAAAGTACTGGTGCAGTTTTGAGTCAGTGTTATTATTTATTATTTTTGTAATTGTGGCCATGATTTAAAAGAAGTCAGGAATTGCGAGGGGGGAGGGTTTGTCTAGCTTGATGGGTTTTTTGTTTGTCACAGTTGGGTAGTTAACAACCAATCAATCTACAGAAGTTTGAGCACCAGGTCAGCGGAATGACCGTCTGTTCATTTTCCAGGCTTTTATATGTTAAAAGTCCTAAAAACTAAAAACTAAAAATACTTTCAAACAAGGGAATAGTTAGGGAAAGACACATATATATGGTATGTCTACACTGCACAGTTGTCACCAAAACTTTTGTCTTTCGTGGGTACTTAAAAAAGCTCCCCCACAAAAGACAAATGTTTTGCTGACGCAAGCGGCAGTGTGAACATGGCTTCTGCTGGCAAAGCTTATGCCGCTCGCAGGGCTGGAAGTATTTTGTCAGCAAAAGTGCCGACAAAATACCACAAAAGAGCATTCACAGCCTTGTCTCTAAAAGATGTGTAGCGTAGACAAGCCCATAGATGGGATTAAAAAAATCTGAAGTGGGGAGGGGGGAAATTATCTAGAATTTGGAGGTGAAATCCATGAGTGAAAGGAACCTCAAAACCCAATATAAAACCATGAAGCCACTGGCTCATTGAAGAGTATGTTAAGGACTGAAACAGTAATAAAACAATAGAAAAATCACCAAATAATTAGAATGATCTGTAGGGTCAGAAATGCAAAGAAAGGCCTAGTTAATTGAAAAATACAATTTTTTGTGAACTAACTTTAAACAGTTTAACTTGACTTAACAATGTACTATCTCAAATATTGACTTTGGAGATGCTGGGTTATTTCCTCCTGCCTCAGTCTGATAGCTGAGAGGTCAGTGTGACAATCAGAGATATGTGAAGGGCCATGGTTTTCCTCTAAACCTTCTCAGTTGTTTCTCAGCCATTTTTGTGAGTCCAGACAGGCCTAGTGTAGGGAGCTACATTAGAGGAGGTCTGGTACAGTGTGGAGGAGCTCAGTATTTTTGTAGTCTACTCACTGGAAGGCAGAGTGAGAATGCAGAGCTAAGAAGGGGCTTGAGATCATCTAGACTCAACTGGCTTTCAAAAATTCAGTAATCTCATTGGTCATGTCCAGTATGACCTAACACAAAACCCATCGAGTTAGAGACTGCCCTTGTTCACTCAGAGACAGCGAGGCTATAGGGAAGAATATTCTTGGTAAATCAGATTTTAAAATGATAAATTTCAGTGACTGAGTGAAACACAGTCAATGATAGCTCAGATGCAAATCCTGATCAGCACAATAAAAGTGAGCTGATTTGAAAACTGCTTATCAAATCTACCCCATCAGAAAGAATCTACAGTGTTGTTTTCTGTGATGGGTTCCCGCTCCCTTGGGGAGCCACCTGGAATTGGGGTACCACTGAGCCCCCCTGATCCACCAGCCTGGGCTCCCTCTCACGCTGTGCTGCTGTGACAAGTTGCTAAGCTTTCCAAGCGTGCTCTTTCAATCAGCATACACACAGGTAGGGAGGGACACACCCAACTGTAGTAACATGCAAACAGGCTCTCTGACCAGCTCCTGCATAGAAAGGCTAAACAGCTAGCGCACATCCCAGTTCCTAAGGCAGGCACCTCCCTTTGGAGGGTAAACCCAAAATTATACCATCTTGTGCTGCACAGGGAACTGTACAGCTTAAGCTCATGAAACCTCCCTCAGTGTGGAGGAGTCTTAATAATTTTAATATTTCATCATATGGAAGCTTTTCCATGGCTTTAGTCATCTGCGGTGTCCTTCTTTGGGCCTATTCTGTTTCTGCTTTATTATTTTTGAGAAGAAGCAGTGGATGGAATTGAACTTCATATTCAAAATGAGAGTATGCCATCCAGTGTGGGAACATTGCACATCTATTTCTGTCCAGATGTCCAGAGTGACACCTTTTTCTTCACTAGTTACAGTTTATTTAGAAATCTTTCATGTAGTTCAACTTCTGCATTTGTTTATGCAGAACTCTCCATTCTGGTCTTACATGGGCTAGTGCTTAAGTGACTGTGGTAATGGCTCAGGTAGGGGGACAAGAAATGGTGTTGGTGGACTCAATACCTTATAGAATTGGCATAAAGGAGCAGCAGGAAGGGTTGGATCACATATATATTATATTAAATAATACAAATATATTCAAATTAAATTGTTTGTTTAGCATATGCAGGGATCAGGAGCAAGAATTGCACAGAAGGAAGATATCAAATAATAAATCAACTGTAAATTCAGAGAAAGGAGGAAAAAAGAGGTCTGCACACAAAAACAATCCTAACTAAAAGCCCTCATATCTCAAAATTTAAAAATCTGCAAAGAAAAAACCTTTAGTTATACACACTAATTTTCATTGTTTTGGTAAGGGTCTGTACGTCCTTCTTGACTTTCTGGATGACGGATGTGGAGAGAATATTTTGCTGAGATCCAAGAAGTCATTTAAAGCTCTGTCTAGAGATGCTCCAAACAATAAGGTATCATCAAAGTGTGCTTGGATGAGGATGCTCCTCATTGTAGGATCTTTATCTGGTACTGCCCACCATGTGCTTTTAGATTCCAGAATTTTACTTTGGAGACAATCAGCCACGAATCTGGAAACAGCACAGGCCAAGCTGTATAACAACGCTGGGAGTTCTCTTTGATTGCCTTCTGTCATTTTTCTGGGGTGGAGGTTCCTAGCTGATTACTTCTTCTGGGGTTGGATGAGGAATGAGATAGAGGGCAGTGCAGACTATGGCTATGCGTACAAAGGCAGCTCTCAGAACAAGAAAGGAGGATCCAAAAATGTCATCTGAGAACACACTTTCAAATTTTCAGCCATTGACTCATGAACTCCAGTAGACTTCCTGCTGCATCAGCTGAGGTGTAGGAAGGAAAAGTTGGTCTTTGAAACTGCAGAAAATGCATAAGCATCAAGTCCTATTGCACTTGGTATCACTTTAGTAAAGTTCAGTTGATGGACCTTTGATTTAGTTAACCCAAGTCTTCTGGGTTATTTAGACAGGAAAAGAAAGCTTTTGGTTTCCCTCAGGCTCCAGGGGACTGGCCTGACTGGGCCCAGGGGCTTTGTTTGTTGACTCTAATTTGGGGAACTCTGAGGTAGGGCCCTGAGGTCCCCCATTATGAACTTTGTTAAAAAGACTGTTACTTCCCTGATCTTCTTGAAGAAGACATATGTGTTTTATTAATTTGTTTTGACTTCCCCTGTCTTGAATCCTTTACGCAGTAGCTTATAAAAGATCTGGTCTGTTCTGTGTCCTATTCCAACTGGCTGCAGATGAGTTTCACAGTGTCCTACCCAGACTCTGTTTGGAAAGACAGTTCCAACACCACATCATGTAGGCAATTCACTCCAAGTGCCAGCAGAAGGTATAGCCAATTCACAAAAATAAATATGCTAGAGGAACATTTGGTAGCAGCCTCCCAACAGTGGGGAGCAGGCAGGATAACCCAGCTATAATGGCCGGAGTAGTAGATCTTTGTGTATGAGAAATGCTGTTTTTCAAGGAGCATCTCTTCCTATTTTATTCCAAACAAAGAGACCAGGGATACCTCCTTTCATTAGTGATTTTTACTTTAAAAAAAGATTAACCAAGGTTTTTTTAAAAAAAATATTGAATGCTCAATGCTTTTTTCACCTCGGCCTTCACAGAGAAGGGCAGCTCCCACACTGCTGTCCTGGGCAACACAGCATGTGGAGGAGGTAAGCAGCCCTCAGTGGTGAAAGAACAGGTTAAGGACTATTTAGAAAAACTGGACATGCAGAAATCCATGGGTCCAGATCTAATGCACTGAGGGTGCTGAGGGAATTGGCTGATGTGATTGCAGAGCCATTGGCCATTATCTTTGAAAACTCATGGCGATCGGGGGCGGTCCCGGACGATTGGAAAAAGGCAAATATAGTGTCCATCTTTAAAAAAGGGAAGAAGAAGAACCCGGGGAACTACAGACCGATCAGCCTCACCTAAGTCCCTGGAAAATCATGGAGCAGGTCCTCCAGGAAACCATTTTGAAGCACTTGGAGGAGAGGAAGGTGATCAGGAACAGTAAACATGGATTCACCAAGGGCAAGTCATGCCTGACCAACCTGATTGCCTTCTATGATGAGATAACTGGCTCTGTGGATATGGGGAAAGCAGTGGACGTGATATATCTTGACTTTAGCAAAGTTTTTGATACTGTCTCCCACAGTATTCTTGCCAGCAAGTTAAAAAAGCATGGATTGGATGAATGGACTATAAGGTGGATAGAAAGCTGGCTAGATTGTCGGGCTCAACGGGTAGTGATCAATGGCTTGATGTCTAGTTGGCAGCCGGTATCAAGCAAAGTGCCCCAGGGGTCAGTCCTGGGGCCAGTTTTGTTCAACATCTTTATTAATGATCTGGATGATGGGATGGATTGCACCCTCAGCAAGTTTGCAGATGACACTAAGCTGAGGGGAGAGGATAGGATCCAAAGTGACCTATACAAATGGGAGGACTGGGCCAAAAGAAATCTGATGAGGTTCAACAAGGACAAGTGTAGAGTCCTGCTCTTAGGACGGAAGAATCCCATGCACCACTACAGGCTGGGGAGCGACTGGCTATGCAGCAGTTCTGCAGAAAAGAACCTGAGATTACAGTGGATGAGAAGCTGGATATGAGTCAGCAGTGTGCCCTTGTTGCCA